CTCGTAATTAAAAGAGGAAATCAAACACAAGATATCAAACAAACAATAGGCCCAGGAAGAGATGTGGGATGGTTTAGCTTCTTGAAATGTATTTATTTATACAAACACCTCTGAGAGAAAGTTTCTGTCCCGTTGTGGTTAAGAGGCTGGACTCTGGAGGGGAGGAAACCTGAATTTGTATCATGTTCCTGACAATTACTAGTTTCTTTACTATATTAGTCCGTTCTCATGCTGCTGATAAGACATACCCTAAACTGGGTAATTTGTAAAGGAAAGAGGTTAATGGACTCACAGTTTCACATGGCTGGGGAGGCCTCGTAATCATGACAGGAGACGAAGGAAGGGCAGAGGAACTTCTTACATGGCTGCGGACTAAAGGGCATGTGCAGGAGAACTCCCATTTATAGAACCATCAGATCTCCTGAGACCTACTCACTACCACAAGAAGAGTATGGAGGAAAATGCTCCCACCATTCAATTATCTCCGCCTGGCCCGCCTTTGACACATGGGGTTTGTTACAATTCAAGGTGAGATTCCAGTGGGGACACACACAGTCAAATCATATCAACCTTGAAACTAGTAGTTTCTTAATCTTCTCTAAACATCAGTTTTCTTATCAACAAAATAAGTATTATAATAATACTTAACCTCATTTTAGAATTGGGAAAACTATTAACAAATATTCTACATAAAATCCCTTGATTAGAAAGGTGCACAGTTATGACTGCAGATTTCCCTGCCACTAACTCTGTTTCAGAATGTTGTTCAAAACTACACCTCCTAAAATATAATCTTTGGAGAAGATGTACAAGCCTATCGAATGCCTAGAGGATCAAGTTCAGGCTGTTTCCCATATCATTAATGTCAACAGGATATTCAATTAGAATAAAATCTCACAGTGCCCTGAGAAATACTTAAAATTCCATGAAATATTTCAACTTTGATGAATGTAGAAGTTATCTTTAATCTCCCAAAATTTGCTTTATTTTGTAGATAAATATTTAATATAACACAGATTTCAGAACATTTAATGTTGTGTATAGTTAGATAAAACTGATATTCTAAAAAAGAAATTGATGACATTTTTATATCTCCTTGTTGGTAGTATACTAGCGATTCTTTCAGTAATTGCTCTTGGATTTACTTAGGCCATATAATGTAAATTTCTCACAATTTCCCAGATCGATCATTGATTATCAGGTTTTTCAAAAATATTTTCTTACCATTATCTGTTTTACATTTCCTCTCTATTCTTAAAGAATTTTTAAAATTAATATATTCTTTCCAATGAAGGTTTTTATGGTTAGAAGTATAATGATATAACCTAATGTTTGCATTTGGGGCATTTTTATTTACAATGTATTTTTATATATTCTCATTTAGTTAAATTTTAACTCTTATTATAATACCTTAAATATAAGAAAAATTTAGTTAGAGAGATTAAGCAACTGCCAAGTTCAGAGCAACATTTGTTTATGGAAATGATATTTCCTTCATAATGTTTCAACTTCTTGGCTTCTGCACTATACAAACTGCTTAGAAATACGTCTCTTCTCTGTCTTTTCTATCATGAATATTTTCACGAGCTTTCTATTTTCCTCCACATGTTACATCAGTGCTAACCAGGATATCTCTCTTCAGCCTATTTTCTTCTGATTCTATGCGCCCTTTCTGTATAATGTCTTCTAATTTCACAGTCTTGATTACAATCAATAGGCTTCTAAGTCCCCGGTCTGCAGCTCCAGTGTGACTTTCTCTTCATCTCCCACTTTTAGTCTCATGTAATTAGTTCTCTCTTGAATTTCTCTGAGTCTTTATTCTTGTCTGACTCTCAAATTACATGAAAAACTCCTTAAGAATAGGAGAAAAGCTAGTCACATGGTATCTCCAGAATAAAGGAGATTCTGTCTTATTTACTAGACAATCACATGTTGTTCCATATAGGTCAACAGCAGTATTTTTCATTTTAGTAATTCAAACAGGAATACAACATAAGTGTTTTTTGTTGTTGTTGTTAAATAAGCACCATAGATTTGGGTAGCAAACTGTTCCATATTTTCATCACAGGAGATTTGGAGAATAAGGAAGAGGAGGAGGAGGAGGAGAAGCAGAAAATGGAGGAAGAGGAGAACAGAGAAGAAGAGGAGAAAGAGGAGGAGGAGGAGAAGCAGAAGAAGGTGTAGAAGGAGGATAAAAACCCAGCATAAATATCACTGTAAATACCCATTCATGGGTTGCATCCATAAGCAATAAGTGTATTGACACAACTGTGACAAGTCAGTAGCTTGTTGTTGATACTTCACTTGTAATTGAAAGGCATGGCCTTTTCAAAGAACATGGTGTTTGCTTATAGAAGACAAGATATCTGTTTTACTTAATTATAAAATATGAAGCCATGTTCTGGTCCATCAGTCTTCTAAAATGGCCTACTGTTCCTGGAGGATGAGACCATAACTAGCATGAGAAGGTCATTACTGTATTTGTAGTCTACCATGCTTGTTTCACCTGTCATACATAATCCCTACACTTCCTAACTTGGAGAAGCAGAAAATCGTGGGTGAAATAATGCCTGCATTTTGGTGTTCCAACATAAAATGCATATGCCTTAGGTTTAATTGTAGTTTTTAAATGAGTATACTGACATCTGCCATTATATCTGACCTGTTAGTTTGCTGTTTGGTAGTGCTTTTGGACTATTAGTTTGCTTTTTGTGCACAAGAACATGAATATCTTAGATCCACTGGAACTGTACCTAATATTGTTAGAAAAACAAACTAGGGAAGAAAACCACAGGGAAGAAATGAGAGGAGGCAGAAGAGAAAAGAAGAAAGGAGGAAACCACTTGACAATTTGCAATTAATTAAGCCAGGGTATATGTTTTAAATTAGACATAGTTCAGTAGTTACTGAACCATGAGATGGTGCAGTGGCTCATGCCTATAATCCCAGCACTGTGGAAGGCCTAGGCATTAGGATCACTTGAGATCAAAAGTTCAAGAACTGTGTTGACAAAATTGTGAAACCCCATCTCTATAAAAAATAAAATTAAAAAATTAGGCAGGTGCAGTCATGCATACCTGTATCTCTAGCTACTTAGGAATATGAGGGGAGGTTTGCTTGAGCCCTGTAGTTCCAGACTGCAGTTACTATGATTGCGCCACTGCACTCCAGCCTGGGTGATGAATGCAGCCCATGAACTTATTAAAAAAAAATACTCACTGAATCCTATGTAACTCTTTTTCATTGAGAATGTACAGAGAATGGATTCGTTTCGCGCCTAGAAGAGACCTTGTATCTATGATGCTTAGAAATTCCATTCCAAAAGAACAATAATAATTTAAATCTAATTTACTTGAATTACATATTTGCCTAAATAAATAATTTACATTTTTGTATATTATCTATCGAACACCATAATTTCCAATAGGACTGTTCAAATTAGCATAGATTCATCTAATAAACATTTCCTTTCAAAACTCACACATAAATTCATTTTATTTTATTTTATTATTTTACTTTAAGTTCTGGGATACACATGCAGAACATGCAGATTTGTTGCACTGGTAAACATGTGCCATGGTGGTTTGCTGCACCTAGTAACCCATCATCTAGGTTTAAGCCCCACATGCATCAGCTATTTGCCCTGATGCTGTCCCTCCCTCCCCCACCACCAGGACCTGGTGGGTGTTGTTTCCTTCTCTGAATCAGACACAAATTAAAAACATAATTTCTATTAGTGGGATCAAGCTAAAGACAATGCATTTATAAATCTGTTATGTAGTTTTTCTCTCTTTAAAGTACACAATGATGGTCACATGTGGCACCCTCTGAGGAACAATGGACTGGGCTGTATAACTTAACTGAACTTTAGAAATAAGTTTTGAATGCTCAGTTCTTAGCACATCAAATTATCCAACCAGTAGCGAGTAGGTGAATGTTTGTATACGTTTGCCTATTAATTAAATTAAAATCCTGTTTTTCTCTTTCTATCTAATGTAGTTATTTCAACAAATGGCCTCTATAAAGACATACGAACTCCTGAAAACTTCAGGGAAGTAAATTCAAATTTGTAAACATAAGAAATCAGTTTTATGTGAAAGATATATGACCAAGCACCTAGAATCTATTGACATTAAATATGAGAATATTTTTATCATATGGTATCCAAAAGATGATTGAATTTTGGCAAATGTTTACAGTCACTTTATTACTTAAAATATTCAAAGTCAATATAAAGGTAGAAATACAAGATAAATAATGATTTGTAGAAAAACTTCTGAAGTATAGAATGACTCCAATTTTATTATGCTAATTATCACTATTTACTAGATAATGTGTAAAATTTTGTTAACATGGTAAGTATTATTTTTGACATAGCGTTGTTCCATCTTGGACATATATTTGTTGAAAAGTAGTAGATGGTATTCTACAGAAGCATCTTTATCACTGCAATCATTTCCATGCCTGGATTCCTCAGCATGCTTTTCCATTGTCTGACTCACTCATGGCTAGACTAACACTGGGATTAGCACGTGATGGGTCCATTTGCTTTCTGGTTGCTTTGTCTTCACAATGGTCTATTGTAAAAATCCCCTGGTTAAGTTTATTTTTAGAATTTGTAGAGACAGATTTTGGGCATTACTTTCCATCTCGATGGTATGATCTCATAATTCATGCTATTTAGAAAAACAAAAGGGAGGTTTCAACGTGTTTAAATACATCAGCCATCTAGGAAAGGACATCTGTTGAGGCTTCACTGACTTCTTGTCTCTCCTCTTGAGTGAAAGGTAATATGTTCAAGTACAATCCAATAGAATGTCTTAGCATAAGCTTTTGTTTGCTAAAATCAATTGTAACTCACTTATGAAAATGTATATTATCTATTGATAACTTACTATAAAGAAATAATGACCATTTATTGGGATCTGAAGATGACTTACAGATCTCAATTCCTATGAATTAACACCAGCAGTCATCATGCAAAGTAACTAATGTGGAATATGGCGATGTATGACATCCTCTCTGATGGTGGGACCTCAATGGATTCTTTTTATTTCCTTGCCTAGATGCCTGGTATCTACTTTCTTAATTATTAATTCTACATTTAACTTAAACTAGAATTTCAAATTTTACAAGAAGATACTGATAAATTCTCTCTTGGCAAATGTATTATTATAAAAGTTTATTTTTAAAAATTTACTTTCTTCTTAATAGGAAACTATTTATTACTTTTTTATTGACTTTTTAATTACTTTTTTATTACTTTTATTGACCTTTCCATCATTTAAAACAATTCTGTTATAATGCAAAGCATATACTGTATAAGAGTTAGTCATCTCAATCTTACTAATTTATTTAACTCATTTTCATTCATTTGTGTTATGGCAGAAAAGAAAGAGTTCCAGAAAAATCTGTTCCAGATTTTTATTATTGTATTATTGTGTTACTTGGGAAACACGTTTTTCAAAACCATTAATTATATATTGATTATCTATGTTCATTCATCTATTAATTTATGTGTTAGTAAAAGAAGACCAATTTCTTAGAACTTTTTTTTTATTTTGTGCTTGCAACAGAATTGACAGTCATAAACAACATAAAATTCTCAAGCCTTTTGTTTCATAAAAAGAGTTGTAGTAGGATTTATATATTAGGTAATAGAAAAACTTCAAGAAATATATAATTTTTATAGTTAGTCCTATAGTAGAAGTTTCCATTTAAGTGAGTGAAGCAAAATGAATGAATAAATAATATGGTAAATGCCATAAATCATGGGTTCTGCTTTCCGTGATAGAGATGTAGGTCTCTTTAAGAGTAGGACATTTTATTATAATTAGATGAAAAATGTTATTGTAATGTTCTATCACAAGTGACAGGTAAGAGAGATTAGAAAAAAATATTTAAATTACCTATTAATGAATTACTTTATAGCTGCAATTAACAGCTAAAAATGCCATGTAATTCTAAGTCTTGTGGTAATTGTATTATCCAATGGAAATGCTTTTGTTTACATGTTTGTAATTTAGAAATAAGGAATCTGCTTTTTACATCTGCAAAGTAACTGGATTCACTTGCATATGCATAATTATAAAAACAGAGTCCCAGAGGAGGCTAACTTTGTTGAATGATATTATTTGAAATATTAAATAATCTTCACCAGTTCAACTTCTCAAAGTCGCTACAAACATATTCCCTGTCAATCCTCTTCATTTTATTTTTCTCTAACCAATATGATTAATGTTCTAATTTCAGGGTTACAACATCTGTGCTAATCTCTAATAGAAATCTGGCTCATATTCACTGACTTTATTATAAAGCAAGTCCCCGCTGCCTGTCATTCTACTTTCCAAATATCTCTTTACACTGTACCTTAATTACCATTCTTAATGTCATTATATAAGTCCCCTGTAATGACACAAGAACCTAAGTGATCATCTTTCCTCCAGTTTTGTCCTCCCTACATGCTGGACTGTTTTCTTTTTTTAACATGCTTTCCTCTCCATTTTATTTCTTTATAGGCTCCCAACACCTCCCTTTAGTCATTCCATATTATCCAACTCAAGCTTGCCTTTCTTCGTTACCTTCTTACTCCCATCCTCTTGGTTTGTTTAAGATGTTCATTTGTGTGTTTCATTAGCATATTAATATTTCCAAATCAGAGCACTCACATTTACTTATCAATTCAGGAGACCATGCCTGGGGCTCACACCTGTAATCCAAGCATTTTGAAAGGACAAGGCAGGAAGATTCCTAGAGCCCACGAGTTTCAGAACAGCCTGGGCAACATAGTGAGACTAAAAACATTCTCTACCTAAAAAAGAAAAAATTCACTGGGCATGTTGGCACACAATTGTAGTTCCAGCTACAAGTGGAACTAGGGAGGCTAAGATGGGACGATGGTTTGAGCCCAGGTGGTCCAGGCTTCAGTGGTCTGTGCTCATGCCCCTGCACTCCAGCCTGGAAAACAGAGCATGTCTCCCAGTGCTTTGAAGCATAGTGTCATCAATAGAAGTTTGATGAATGAATGCAAGAAATAATATGATTACTGATTTTTCATGTATGATTTTATAGGACTCAGCTAACTACGAAGTTTCTTGTCTTTGCTTTAATCTTGGCTCTCATGGTTTCCATGACTGTAAGTATATCTGGAAATTTTAAAGAATACATTCATTCTCAGTACTAATCCCAAGTGTCTCTTATTCCTTGTGTTCTGCATATACTCATGTTGACCTCAAAACAGCTCTATAGGCCGGGCACGGTGGCTCAAGCCTGTAATCCCAGCACTCTAGGAGGCCGAGATAGGCGGATCACGAGGTCAGGAGAGCGAGACCATTCTGGCCTACACAGTGAAACCCCGTCTCTACTAAAAAATACAAAAAACTAACCGGGCGAGGTGGCGGGCGCCTGTAGTCCCAGCTCCTCGGGAGGCTGAGGCACGAGAATGGCGTAAACCCGGGAGGCGGAGCTTGCAGTGAGCTGAGATCGGGTCACTGCACTCCAACCTGGGCAACAGAGCGAGAGACTCCGTCTCAAAAAACAAACAAACAAACAAACAAAACAACAACAACAACAACAAAAAACAGCTCTATAAGCTTTAATATTTCCATATAAAGAGTTTCTTTGAATTAACTTATATAAGTTCTTTAAGGACTTGGAATAGATATTCATTACATACCTGCAAACACTCAAGCACAATTACTTTAATGTAAAAGTAAAAGAAAATTTAGCAAGCTTTTTAAATATGTGGGATTGAGAACTGTGAAAGTATCTCTAAATAGGAAAAGCTCTAGGCCATCTGAAGTTAGAGATCTGAGGAAAGAACAAGGTGCACTTAAATGGAACCCAAGTATTACAGGGTGTCAAAATATGAATTTTCAAGTCATTTCTTGCACAACCTAATTGTCAAAGTTAGCATAGAATTGTTTAATTCTTCTTAAAATAAAGCTGCTATTTTCAACCATAAAACAAATCTCTGTTATTTATTAAGTGTCATGGGTTCCCAGATCGTACTGCCATTTACTACTGTGTATTAGTAGGAAAAGCACTTGACCTCTCTGGAACTCTTTCTGCTTCTCTACTTCCACGTTCTCTTCCTCCTCCTCCTCCTCTTTCTATGAAGTTAATAGAAAATTGGTCACACAAGAATAATAATACTCCAAACTATCCACTAAATTCTAATGAATATTTTGAAAACTGAATTGGTTATGATATCACAGTTTATCACATTATTTTATTATAAAAGGATAGAAGTGGAAAAATAAACATATAAGAAGAACAGAGAAAAGTATAATGCTTATCTCTATTAGCAAATAAAATATTTGTATGTTGGTAGCTTTTGAGCTACATAGAACATATTCATATAAAAAACAATCCAGTGTTTCATTTGTCAGTTTCCACTCTCTTATTCATCAGTGATAGACTTTTCCTGCCTTACATAAAAAAGACATATCAACCAAAATGAGTTAATATTTGAATATAGCACAATAATTATAGAGTTTACCCTTCACTCATTTTAAAGATGTCATAAAGCTAAAATAACTAATTTAGTGTGTCATCAACCAAAGAATGCCTCCATTCTATTTAATCATAATTGTGGCTAAGTCGATATTTATACTTACTCTTGAATTATAAAATTAAAATATTAATTATTTTCTCATTTTCTTTTTTTTCCAAGAGAGCTGATTCACATAAAGGGGTAAGACTTTTCATTTACTGGAAAACTTGATAACTGATCCTATATTCAATTTTTAATCTTTTCTTTTCATTTCACAGAAACATCATGGGCACAGAAGAAAATTCCATGTAAGTGTTCTTCCGATAATGTGCACTCTGAATAAGTTTTCTTCTCTATATATTCTTCTAGAAGAATCAATAGTTGTCTCTCAAATATATGTAAATCATTAATTGCTAAAGTGCACATTGATTTCATTTATTTATGATGCAAAGGCAAAAAGTCACAAATATCTTGTGTCCTAACAGTATTTCAATGGAAACTCAGTTCCACCTGAAATAAGTCAATTATTCTCTGAGAACTTATCTTTGTCCTGTAAATAATCACACTGACCTAAAGAATAGTTGAAATCCTAATTCTATTAAGTATAATATATGCTTAATGAAGCATAGAGGCTACTCATGTAATATGGTAAGTTTCTACCTTCTTAATTTTTGAGGATGATACAGTCTTTAAATTAAACTGTGCTAAATTAGACAGAAAGTTGTATTTCTCTAACATTTTTCTCACTGTATGTATATAAAGTCTCATATTATTTTGACCTATAATATCAATATGAATCTGGGTTCAAAAGTGCTCCTTACTGACACAGTAAGTATGCACGTTAAAAATGCACCAAGTAAAAAGATGCATAAAAAGGGATGAGGACTGTTTGTGTTAACAGCACTGGGTATGAAAGAATGTAGGCATTGTAAAACAAAGTAAGATCACTAAAAGAATGAGATTAAGAAGCACCACTTAAGTTGGAAACAGTAACTTAATCCTTTCCATAATACTCAATAGTTAGCAAAATAGTAGCTCGGAGGTGATATTTTAAAGAAGATTTAAACCCTGGTTAGAGAGGTTACCTATAATCAGTGTTTCCACCTGTACTACTGTCACAAAAATATCAACAAACAGTAAATACTTCATCATTTTTACCTACTTTTAAACATTTTTCTGACAAAAAAGAAAAATGTAAAAGTTTGAAAATATTTATGTAGATAAAATAAAAGGTCTTAACAACTTTAACAATCTAAGCTTTAATGACAGTTTTTGAGAAACACTTGTACTGTCATTGTCTCTATCTCCTTTTGTGTGTATACAGGAAAAGCATCATTCACATTGAGAATTTCCATCATATGGAGGCTACAGATCAAATTATCTGTATTACAATTGATATCCTCAGTAATCTTGGGGCATGATTATAAAGGTAAGCTGACTCTAGTTACTTTGCTTTCTAGAAGTATCAACACTGACCGTTAAAACAAGAAAAAAACAAAAAAAAAAAAGCCATTAAGCCTACAACCATTCCAGTTTAAGAAATGTAGCATGGGTTAGCTCCTTCAAGTGTATTGATTTATATAAATGCTTCTGAAGCTGTAGATGTGTGGTGTTATTTCTGAGGTCTCTGTTCTGTTCCATTGGTCTATATGTCTGCTTTGGTACCAGTACCATGCTGTTTTGGTAACTGTAGCCTTGTAGTATAGTTTGAAGTCAGGTAGCGTGATGGCTTGAGCTTTGTTCTTTTGCTTACCATTGTCTTGGGTATATGAGCTCTTCTTTGGATCTATATGAAATTTAAAGTAGTTATTTCTAATTCTGTGAAAAATGTCAATGGTCATTTGATGGGAATAGCATTGAATCTATAAATTACTTTGGTCAGTATGGCTGTTTTCATGATAATGATTCTTCTTATCCATGAGAATGGAATGTTTTTCCATTTGTTTGTGTCCTTTCTTATTTCCTTGAGCAGCGGTTTGTAGTTCTCCTTAAAGAGGTCCTTCACATCCTTTATTACCTGTGTTTCTAGGTATTTTATTCTCTTGGTAGCAATTGTGAATGGGAGTTCATTCATGATTTGGGTCTCTGCTTGCCATCTGATATTCAACAAACCTGACAAAAACAAGTAATCAGGAAAGGATCTCCTATTCAATAAATGATGCTGAGAAAACTGTGGACCCCTTTCTTACACCTTATACAAAAATTAACTCAAGATGGATTAAAGACTTAAATGTAATACTCCAAACCATAAAAACCTGAGAAGAAAACTTAGGTGATACCATCCAGGACATAGGCATTGGCAAAGACTTCACGTAAAAAATGCCAAAAGCAATTGCAACAAACGCCAAAATTGACAAATGGGATCTAATTAAGCTAAAGAGCTTCTGCACAACAAAAGAAACTATCATCAGAGTGAAAAGGCAACCTAGAGAATGGGAGAAAATTTTTGCAATCCACTCATCTGTCAAGCTCTAATATTCAGAATCTACGAGGAACTTAAGTAAATTTACAAGACAAAAACAAACAACCCCATCTAACAGTGGGCGAAGGACCTGAACAGACAGTTCTCAGAAGAAGACATTCATGTGGTCAACAAACATGAAAAAAAGCTTATCATCACTGATGACTAGAGAAATGCAAATCAAAACCACAATGAGATACCATCTCTCACCAGTCAGAATAGTAATTATTAAAAAGTCAAGAAGCAATAGATGCAGATGAGGCTATGGAGAGACAAGAACATTTTTACACTGTGTGTGAGAATGTAAATTAGTTCAACCTTTGTGGAAGACAGTACAGTGATTCCTCAAGGATCTAGAACTAGAAATACCATTTGATGCAGCAATCCCATGAGTGGGTATATACCCAAAGGTACATAAATCATTCTACTATAAAGACATATGCCTACATATCTTTATTGCAGCACTATTTACATTAGCAAATACATGGAACCAACCCAAATGACCATTAATGATAGACTGGATAAAGAAAATGTGGTACATATACACCATGGAATACTATGCAGCCATACAAAGGAATGAGATCCTGTCCTTTGCAGGGACATGGATGAAACTGGAAGCCATTATTCTCAGCAAGCTCACACAGGAACAGAAATGAAATAGCACATGGTCTCACTCATAAGTGCGAGCTGAACAGTGAGAACACATGGAGACAGAGAGGGGACAACACAAACCAGGGATGGAGGGTAGGGGGTAAGGTAAGGTAACTTAAAGGACTGATCAACAGGTGCAGCAAACCACCATGGCACACATATACATATGTAACAAACCTGCATGTTCTGCACATGTATTCTAGAACTTAAAGTAAAATAAAAAATAAAATGAAATAAAATAAAAATGCCTCTGAGGGAAAGCTTCTGTTTACTAGTGTTAATACGCTGAGTTCTGGGTAGGGGAACCCCTAACATTTGTATCCTGACCCTGACAACTAGTTTCATGACCTTGAGATATTCCTAGTCTTCTCCAAACCTCAGTTTTCTAACCGACAAATACATATTATAATAATACTTAAGTTTTTATAGAATTGGAAAGACTACTGAGAGATATTACATAGAAACCTTTGATCTGGAAGGTGTATGGTTGTGACCATGGGCTTCTCTGCCACTAACTCTGTATGTGGATGTTATTTGAAGTTTTCTGTCCTAAACTGTAATCTTTGGAGAAGCTGCACAAGCACCATCTGGGAACTCGTAAAAAATTTGCGTTGTGTGCCTAAGTAACTCTAATGAGCAATTGCTATGGGAATTACTAATCTAACATCAACAAGGAGATGGGAATTTAGAAGGAAATAGGAACTGGTAATGATTTCCTTTTTATAAAGTCAGTTTTCTTTATTTATATTCACAGCATAAATTGTTTCAAAATCTATAAGATACTAAAGATTACACTTCAAAATAAAGCAATATTTTGGGGATAAAAGAATACTATTCTACAATTCAAAGTTGAAATAGTTCAAAAGATTTCAAATATTTTTTAATGTTTTGGGACATTTTATTCTTATTGAATTCCTGCTCTGTGTGATATTAGAAAAAGCCTGATCTTGATCCTCCAGACGTTAGATAATTGCTGATGACATTTAATCAGGGGAGGATATAGTTAAAATATCATTTGGGGGAGATAGATGAAATGTGTAGTCTATATTTAAGTGGGAGAATAAAATAAGATGATTATGGAAAACCTTAAGAAAAATTTAAATTTAAGTTGCAGATGCTCAATGATAATTTTTACTTATTCCAATACCCACTTCATGAGCATTTAATTGTCTACTCTATCTCAAATATTATTTTGGTCCCTGCATTATAGTAAATAAAACTATCTATAAATACATACTTTCTGCCAGGAAGAGTATAAATGTGTTTACAGGAGTATCAGTTTGGAAGATAAAGTGTTATTTTCTTTTTCTTCACAGGTTTGACTGGCAAATTCGCATTTTACTGGTTTATTCTCATTCCTCATACTGCATCACACTACTGTTGCTTTTTGAAGAATTATCATAAGGCAATGCAGAATAAAAGAAAGATCATGATTTACTGAATTCTGTGTTTCATGATACTTACCTTCCTAATTATCATTTGATTAGATACTTGCAATTTAAACTGTTAAGCCATTTTCACTGCTGTTTCTGAGTAATAGAAATTCATTCCTCTCCAAAAGCAACAAATTTCAAGCACGTTATTAGGTGTATGCTCTTTATTTCTCTTGTTTATATTTATATATATAAAGATTTATTTCTTCACTTCATTTTCCCAGTTTGAGTAGCACTGACTGTGGTACTTTATACCATAGCTCTTTTGAAATGATTATTTTTAATTTAGCATGTTATATTCATTTTATCTTACAACCATATGGTCCTCAATCACATCCAGATTACTAGACCTACTGATGCGAACATTTGATTTGTCTCTGGTATCCTTTGTCACAGCACATTTCTTAGCCTTGCACATTCCCACATTTCTTATCT